AATTTAAATTGCTTTTTTTGTGCAAAAATTAGGAAAAATTCAATAACTTTTAAATTAGAATTTCTAGGAAAAAATTTGGTGTACAGGGTTGTAGCCTGCTAAATTTTGATATATCAAAGTGATTTTCTTACATACAAAGTATGCTGGAAATTTTTTTATATACATATAACAAAATAACAGCACCGCCAGGAAAAAAGTATCAAAAATCAACGTGATTTTTGGCGGCTTCGAACTTGCACTTTAATTTATTAAAATTTAGTAAGCTACAGGTCTGTACACCAAATTTTTTCCTAGAAATTCTAATTTAAAAGTAAGCAATATTGATGAAATTTTGTTGATTTTTCCTCATTTTTGCACAAAGTATGTAATTTAGATTAATATGTTTTTTGTTAGTTAGTGAGCTATACTTTATACAAAATGAACGAAAAAGGAATTCAGAATGAAAAAACATTGGCAATATTATTGTAGAACCCTCACTGTTTAATTCTGAGTATGACTCACTGTACAACGGTCAAAAAAATTTATACAATATTTACAATGTTTTATATGTTAAATATTTATTGTTAATTTTTGTTTAAAATATAGTTCATCCTATAACGAAAACCATGTGAATCAATGCTTCAAACCTTATGAAAAAGGTCAACAAATTTCCCAATTTTGGACAAAGTTTAAAACTTTGATTGGTATATAGAATGAACTATAATTTAAATAGAGATTATCGAAACATATTTTACATAAAAAATATTTTGAATATTGAAAATAATATAATTTCTCGAGTACTGTTTTTGACCGCTGTGTATTATTATTAATTCCTTATTAAAATTTTTTTAATTGCTAAGAGATGTGGTTTGCATCTCCATAATTTTTAGTCTTCTTAATTCTAATTCATATTTTTTATTCCTTCATTCTATTTCAGCTCTAAGCTTCTCCTTCTCCAATTAATTTTTTTCTTTTAGCAACATGTTGTTTTCCTCCATTAGTTTCAACTTCTTTTGCTCTATTTCTAAATATTCACCTTCAAATGAATTTGAGCCGGTTTTCCTCTTCCTCATCGACGATGATCGATGAGGAGAAGATGGTGGCCTTGGGAGTGGAAGTGGTGTTTGCGGCTCCGCTAAGGGTAATACCTGCCCGGTACTGATTGCCTCACTCTCACTCTCTAAAAACTCAAGCTCCATTTCTGGTTGCTAAAGCTAAAAAAAAACATTTGGTTACAAACTACACATTGTTTCCTTAATATAGAAAGGTCCTTTCTAATGTTTTTGTTTCTTTACAGCGTACATATCAAAACTTAAGTTCTTTAGTTTCGTATATCTTGATAACACTGGTTTATTTTAAACTCTGAAACTATATTATTGATGTAGAGTTGTTTTTAAATTCAATCAATTATTTGGTTAGTAATGCACCGGCCCAAAGTAAAGCTAGTTAGGGCCTTTCCATAATTAGGTAACGATATGTGGTTTTTTAGTGCATTAGTCTTAAAATATTCATATTACCGTCACATTTAGCATTTCAGGAACGTTGTCATTTCCTGTGATGACTACTGCGCCATGAGTTGAAGCACCCTTTTTTCGAAATCGGACGCCTCCTTTAAACGTCCAAGTCCATTTCTCCAGCGTTGACCTCCCTCTCTCTGGCATGACTTCTGTAGAAAACAAAACATTTGAAGACGTTATAAAATTTATAATTACTTACTTACTTTTGGTCTGACCAATACTTGCGCCATTTGGCAGCATCTTTTACGGCACCTCCTAAGCTGTTAAGGGTCGCAGCAAGATCACCCCACTTCTGAACCCTTAAATGTGCACCATCAACCGATTCAAATCTAGAACATACGAATCTGTATAAATAAAACACATTTTTATCAATATTTCACTTACCTATCATTCGCAAACTCAATATTATTTTCCATATATTCTATTAAATAACTTTGTTGTTCATTTGAAGCTTTTCTTGCTTTCATTTCCATGTTTCGCTTATTTTATTTGAAAGTCAGCAACCGGAAAAGCAAAACTCACCGAACAAAATGCTGTGAGTTTCTTGAAGCGGAAGTGTACACAGTTTTGACAGTTAAAACTCATTCTCACACTTGCTGAATCGCAAAGTGACAGTGTACACGATTTTCAGTGTACACTTGAAAACTCATAGTTACAGAATCCAGCCCCAGGAGTATCGCCGATCCTTAAAAAAGACTACAATAAAATTCCGACGATCTTAAGTGGGAATTTTAATGTGAATTATGCGTTGGCATCAAATTAAATTTAAAAATGTCCGGCAGTCGCACCGAATCGACAACACGATCAAAAACAATCATTGATACTGTATTTCAAAGATATATTGATCACATCTCAACTAAAGCATTTATTTCACATTTAGTTACCAATCGTCTCTTTTGTAGAAATTTGAACATGAGTCTAAACAATAATAAAATGAGAAATTAAAAAATTGAAAGCGAAAAATTATAAAAACTTATCAACTTCGTACCAATCTTACAACAAACAATCGCATTCGTCTCATTCTCTCGTAGTTTAATTTTATGAAGGTTTCACTTCTACCGGGTGTGCACTGCATACATATTTTTTTTTTATAGGAACTTTAAGATTAACAAATGTTGCGAATCAAGAGATTTGTGTTAAGATGGCATCGATTTGTTAGTGCATATTCTTACATAGTTTGCCTTAAATGCATATATAATTGCATTTTTTATTTATTAAACGCCGTTTGTCTAGAACGGACGAATCACTCCACAATTGCAAGAGCATTTGATGATTCCACGCAACTATTGTGTACTGATTTCGTCGAAAATTATTTTAATGCTACTGACGCAGCGCCATATATCGAGCCCTAACCGCCAAAAAAACGTAAGCGACATTTTTTAAAAATTTTCTTTTTGATGCACAATGGCATCTAGCTACGGGCATTTGGGGCACCGAAATTGCGCATATGGAAACTGTGCATTTAGACATTATTTCGTTTTCAACCGAAACTGTGCATGTATGCATTACTTCGTTTTTTTTCATATGCATTATTTCGGTTTTCAACCGAAACTGTGCATGTATGCATGTTGAAAACCGAAATAATGCATATAACGAAAAACCGAAATTATGCATATGCACAATCTTCGTTCTGAAAACCGAAATAATGCATATGAAAAAACCGAAATAAAGCATACATGCACAGTTTCGGATGAAAACCGAAATAATGCATATGTAAAGACACTCATCCAGTTCTGAAAACAATAATGCATATAGAAAAAGCCGAAATAATGCATGACTGCACATTTCGTTTGAAAACCGAAATAATGCATATGAAAAACGAAGTAATGCATACATGCACAGTTTCGGTTCAAAACCGAAATAATGCATATGAACAAAAACCGAAGTAATGCATACATGCACAGTTTCGACTCAAAACCGAAGTAATGCATATGACAAAAACCGAAATAGTGCATACATGAAAACGAACTTCTTTCTGAGTAGGCGGCCTTCGGTCGCGCTTAGGGATTATAACCCTTACTAAGTAGAATTCTCCTTTCTGTGTTGCCGGAAAAGAAGGGCGGAAGTATTTTTGCGCAGAACTTCTCTCTGCGTAGGCGGCCTTCGGCCGCGCTTAGGG